TAATCTAGGCCACTGGTTTCCAGAGCCTTTGGTTATGGTGGTCCTCCTCTTGCTCCTTTCTCTGATAAAAAGCTTCTGGGAAATGTCACACACCATTGAGCAGGTTCTATCCTGCAAACCTTGCAGAGAATGGATCTCCGTCCTAGGTACCATCTGAGATGGGGAAGCTAAAGCAGAAGGCAAGAAGCCCATGACAGGTGGTGGCATGTTAGAGAAACAAACATTCTTATCTATTCCTTCACTTCACCAGCCACACATATCCAGTCATGTAGCTTTGCTTAGAGTAGCTTTAATTTCTACAGGGAGAGGGCAGAGCAGGACGATTTTGTGAGCTCCTGTTCTTTTTAGGTTTTCTGACATTGCGAACGTAGATGATCATTTTGTCACTGGATATGATGTTTTCTTCACTTTATATAAACCGCCTATTAATTCAACATTATTATTACTCTAGCCGTGTAATACAAAATTGATTGGGGGACAGGGTCCTTTTTATCCTCTGAGATACACTTTGCAGTGGTGAGCAGAAAAATGAAGTACAAGATCCAAGGTCTGGCTCAAACTGGGATGAGCGGAACAATGTGGGCTCTAGAGGAATCCAGACCGGGATCTAGTGCTGGCTTTGTCAATTACAAGCTCATGAGCTTGAGAAACTTGCAAGTTATTCATCTGGAGGGTGAGTCTGCGAAGTCTTGCCTATCTTGTAGACGTGGTGGAGTGTATGCCCTGTATAAATACCTCAAGGCATACGGACTAGGAAATATTGGGTTCTCAATGAATGGCAGTTATCATATGATTATTTTAGTTTATATATAACATTATTATTTTCGGTTTTCATAATGATATAATGAGAAACAAAATTGTCAAAAGCCTTGCAAATATTTGAGACAATTTAAGCCTATGGTTGTCCCTTGAATAAAGCAGTCTTATTTTAAAAATGTTTTTAGTGAACTCATTCTGGTTCTTACTGATCACTGGATTTAATGTGACCGTTTTAAACCCAGAAAATACTCCCTTCCAATCAGTGTTGTTTTTGTCTGTTGGTTGGTTGGTTTGTTTTTATCCACTAGAGAGCAGAGAATATGCAGTGCACTGGAACAAAACATACATTCACAAACAATCTAAATAAATCAGGTATCATTTATTTATACTAAAAGAAATAATAAAAGGAATAAGACCAACGAAGAATTAAGCATCTTTTACATTTCCATTTTTTACTTTTTTGTTCTCCCCATATTGTGATCTCAATTATTTTACTGTGAGGTTCTGTCACATTTCCATGAAAACAGTTTGCAAATTGTGTTCACCTGCACTGAATCCACAGCACAGGACATTTTCTTTCCTGCCCAGGCAGAGATTTGTCTCTGGCTTACCCATAATCACACAGTAACTTTGTAGGAGCAGCATTCCATAGGGGAAAGAACATTTGCGTCCCCCTCAAATTCATATGCTGAATCCCTAACACTCAATTCAGTGGTATTTAGAGGCGGGGCTTTTGAGTGGCAATTAAGTTTGTTTGAATTTTAAGGTTGGAGCAAGAGTGTTGTTATTAGGGTTCCTATAAGACGAACAGGAGACACTAGATCTCTCTCTCTGTCTCTCTCTCTCTCTTTCTCTCACTCTGTCTCTCTCTCTCTCTTCTCAGTCTGTCTCTCTGTCTCTCAGTCTCTCTCTCTCACTCCATCCACCGAATTCTCTATCTCCCCCCTCCTCTCCCCTCTCTCCCTCTCTTCCCGTCCCCCCTCCCTAATTTCCTCTTTTTTCTCTTCTCCCTCTCTCTCTCTCCTCCATGTGAGAATACAGTGAGAAGGCAACTGTCTGCAAGTTAAGACAGGAACTGTCATCAGGGACCGAACCTGCTGGCAGCTTGATCTTGGATATCCCAGCCTTCGGAACTGTGAAAAATCGATTTCTATTGTTTAAGACAGACCATCTATGGTATTCTGTTAGGGCAGCCCCAACACACTAACTTACTAACTTACAGAGGGTTGTCTCTCAACTCTGAAGCACACCATCTGAGGGCATGGTCACTGCTCACCACATCCATGAACTCAACCTGCTCACCACACACTTTAAATAAAAATTACATCCCACTGAGTTCTTTCATTTTTCCAAAGCCCCAAACTGCCTTGTTCAAGAAATTTCCACTAGACGGCATCATAAGGAACACCCTCAACCTCACTCATTCTTGTTACTTTACTCATAGGTCACAGGAGAGTACAACATCTTGTATGATGGCAGCTTATAGGCTCAAAGGCTCTATGGGAAGGCAGGCTGTGTCTTCTTTATTTTAGCATCCCTAGTACCAGCACAGAACCTTCCAAAGCGCAGATGCTCAATTAATGTTTTATGAATAAAAGAGGCAGTAAACATGAAGTCTAATTTATTAAGATTTAATTTTCCTACTATCTTGAATAAGCTAAGATTAACAATTGATGAAACATTTAATTTTACAAAAGACTAACAGAAATTTGGGAAAGCGAGGATTAACTATGTTTTAATTTTATTTGTCCATTGTATTACACCCTATTACATTTATTTCTCCACTGTATTTTATTGTAGGGTTCTTTCAAGTGTCTAAGAAAATTCCTATTCTTATATCATATTTTCTTATCTGGGTGATAAAAATACAAACAATCAAACAAACAAACCAACCAAGAAAACACAGACTTCAATAAGGGTGAGAACATTTGCTGTACAAAAGGTCCAGGAGACTGTACTCGCATTTGCAGATGCCATGCCTGGCTGGATCTATGGCTTGGGCTGTTTTTTCCTCATCTTCCAAAGGCTCTACATAATGACATAAGTCGTCACAGGAGATGATTTCCTTGATCTTTCCCAAATGCTCCAGGACTTTCGTCTCGCTGGTTTCAACATGTGCTCTTGGACCCCAAAGTGTTGGGCAAAGGTTGGGTCTTTAATGAATTACCAAGTTTATTTTGATCCAAGATTATAACAACCTTCCCTCACAAAGAATATGCAACTGCAAATGACATAGAAATCCACTTGAGCCCAAATGCTGCTGAGCATATGTAGTGTGTCCCCTTTAGGGCATCCATTATTTAATCCAAATTAAATAATGTGTGGTTGTTTTCTCTAGCTGGAGGCAACTCAAGCTTCCTGTTTTGTATGGAGGACCTACAACCTCCCTCCCAGGTGCCTTTCCTTCCAAGCCACCTCTATTTCCATTCATTTAATCATCACCAAAAATCGACCCCTCCCTTAGAGTTTCACAAATTACATTCAGAGTAACCTAATTGAAATGTCCTTTTAATGGAGTGCGCTCTGGCTAGTCCTAGCCCATGACAAGAGTGACAGTTCTGTGGATTCTTGGCATCTCATCTCAAGGTGGTGTCACTCATATTTCCCAGAAACTCCCTAGACGTCATGTGCCCAAAACACCCAGTTTGTGCACTGTATGCACCTGCACTGGGACATGTGCATGGGAAGCCTTCCACTCCTACTCCAGATGGAGATTACTTTCTGGTGTGCACAAAATTGCAAAGTAACTATTAGGCACAGTTTCCCACTCCTGGCTTAGTCTTTGAACACTGAGATTAAGCGTCCCTGGGTGTGGCCTCTGCTCACCACTCCCACAGCCTCTCTTAATCCACAATGCAGCCTCACTTAAATTAAATCATATGCAGGGCCGATCCCGAGGCGGACTCGGGAGAGTGCAGCGCTGGGAGGGCAGCGACGCTCCAGCCACGGGTTCGGATCCTTTATAGGACTGGCTGGTGCGCTCACTGGCTGAGCGCGGTGCGGCCAACACCACACCAAGGGTTGCGATCCCCTTACTGGTCACAAAAAAAAAGACAAAAAAAAAAAAAAAAACCAAAACTAAATCACATTGAGACACTTGCCATTTCCTAAGACTTCCAACAGCATTGATCAGGATATTTATCCTTGACTGCTTTCACCTGAAATCTCCTATTCCTCTTCCCCTCCTTAGACTTGTCCTTTATGTCTTAGATGTTATCTCACCGTCTGCGTGTATGATAGCTGCTGCTGGACTAAATTCTACAGGCAGTGGCTGGATCTTCTCTTTCTTAACATCCCCAGTACTATCAGGGAAATTTCCAAAGGGAAGATGCTTAATTAACACTTGGAAAATAATAATAAAAATTAATAAAAAGAGTGAGCAAGAATTCTAAATTACTATACTTTCAATTTTAACACAGTTTGAATAAGCTAAGCGAATCCAGATTTATATCATTTAATTTTACCAGCAAAGAACAAAAACAATACAGCCAACTAGGAATTAACCACTCCACTTCTGTTTCACCATTTCCTGACCCCAACTGCTTTCCTCTGGGGTTCTTTCACATTTTCACGAAAATCCCTATTCCACTGCCATGTTGCCTTACTCTGTAGTGAAAAGAAAATATTAAAATTTTTTCCATTTGTTTAGAAATAACAAAACTCTTGGTCATAAGCCTAAAAATCAGCAATAAATTTGTGCTCATTGACAGACATTAAGAAACTGAGACTGAAAGAAAATAAATGTTCAATTACAAGGAACACTTTAATTAAAAATAATAAGGCAAACCAAGAATTAAACATCTTTTGTATTTCTGTTTTTAATCTTTTTTTTTTTTTTTTCCTCTTTCCATCTTGTGATTTCAGCTATTTTACTGTGGGGTTAATTCACATTTCCATTTAAACCCCTATTCCATTACCACGTTACCTTGTTCTGGATCATAAAAGAATATGAATGGTTCTTACATTTGTTTTATAAATAAGAAATCTGTAACTTTCAAACCTGTTAAACAGGAACAAATGTGAGGGATACGTATGTAATCTGAAGCAAAGTAAAACTTCATTTAATAGGAACAACCCTGAAAAATAACAAAGAAGAAAATCTGAGCCTACAAGTTGTTCATGTAAAACAGGAAAACAGAGAAGGTATAGAACTTGTTTCCTGCAGCCCCTACTACTCTCCACTACTTAGAAGATTCACTGCTCTCTTCAAACACAAAGTGAAAACTCTACCTCAGACCTCACTAGATATGGGAGGAGCTGCGGGGCATGGGCCTCAAACCCACCCTGGCCCTGGCAACGGTGCCGACCCTGCCTGCATCTATCACTACGGCTCTCTCTACCTCATCTCGCAAAGCGTCTTCGTACAGGTTTGGGAAGGAACTAGGCACAGTATCATCGATCTTGGCCAAAATTTCCAGGGCTTCCATCTTGCTGGTTTCAGCATGGGCTTTTGGTCCCCACAGGAATTCACAGCTTGGAGGATCCCTGTTGGGCACCTGCCGATACTCCAGGTACTTTTCCTGCACCAGATCTTTTGAGATGAGCTTCTGGGGCTCCCCATACACTAAGTGCCTCCTCCAAGCATACATCCCCAACGTATGCAGGAATGCCCAGATCTCCTCCTCATTGGCACGGTTACCGTTCATGAAGATCACACACGGGAGCATCAACAGGAGACCGGTCCTGGGGAACCTCTCATCACCACTCAGATTTCCCTCGCTGGAGGGGCCCAGCTTGCTGACGAGGTCAAAGGACTGACCGCTGGCACTGACTTCCTTCAGTTCAAGGCCAAGGACTAGCTCCAAGCGCTCAGAGGTTCTTCTGAGGATCTCGGGTAAGTGCTCCTTGTACTTTTTGTTGACAACCTTCAGCATGTCTGCCTTGGTAATGGGCTCTTTATTGCTGTACTTCTCGAGCAGGAATTGCACCAACATACTCGCCTTCTTGGTCAGAAGATCTCTGCGTGACCTCTGAGTGGAGGGTGCTGCCTGGGAGGTGCTTGTACTGTTCTCATCTGGAGTCTCAGCATCCTCATCAGCTCTTGTGCTTGAAACACCTGCATCAGGAGAGCTAGTGGATGGAGCTCTCTGAGGCTCCTGGGGAATGGAGGCATCAGGGGAGCTGTGGAAAGTACCCCTCCAAGCAGGAGAGGAGAGGAAGGAGGAAGAAGAGGAGGGGGACTCTTCTTCCTGTGCTGCAGCGGCCTTAGCAGCCCTGAGACACTGGGTCTCCCTACGGGTCTGTTGGTGTTTCTCACGGGCACGGAGCTTACTCTTCTGACCCTGAGGCATGATGACAGTGCTCAGGGACAGCAGGCAGGAGTGTGGGTAAGACGGCTGACAAGGCAGGCACCTGGATGGGGGAGAACGACATCGTGTGAGCACCTGCAGCAGGGAAAGATCACCTTGGCTTTAACCAAGCCCACCCTGTAGGTTTCTAGGAGGGCACTGCTCTAGGAACCCACAAGGCTCCTGTTCTCCTGGTCAGCCTGTCCCCTGAGAACCTTGTAAAGGAATTTAGAGTGAGTCTGAGGCCACTCCATGACAGCAAAGTTTGGGGCTTACTGAGGTGACAGTAGGGCCTGGCGGTGGGCCCTCTCTCTTCACGGTTTTGGGTCTTCTCTGTTGAAATTCAAGACCATCATGTCAAGTGTTGGCAAGTCCTGGATTCCCACTTCTCCACTGCTGTGAAATTGTTAGTATAAACTTCCATAGTACCAAGGAGGAAATGAAGGAGTGCTTCAACCCACCGCTTTAATCAGGGGACTCTCAAATCTCCTAGGGCTGACAAGAAAGGAGATACTTCCGTGCACTTGTATTTATGTGGAGGGTGGCCCCCACAGTGATCAGAGTCCTCACCATGACTCTTCACATCACCTGGGAATCGTCCTCTGCTTACCTGTTACCAGTCCCTTAGAACAAGGCCCCCCACCCCCACCTCCCACACTCTTTCAAAGTCAAAGTGAGGGAGCGCCTCAGTCTTTAGACCTGTGCAAGCCCATGTCAGAGGCACAGGTCTGTATGCCCTTCACCCCCCCCAACCCCCTTCTGGGACACGGAGTTCCCTCAGTCTTCACGAGGTTCCTCTCCTTAACGCGGGATTTCTCCCTCTGCTGACCTCAGTCCACCAACCTCAGAGCAAGGCCTTCATTCCTTGAGACCCCTCGGGGGAAGGGAATGGACTTGGGCCTAGCACCCATCCCTGGGGACTCCTGGGATGACAGCAGGGGTGGGATGAGGTGGGGCTCTGTGTGGCCTCCTCTTTTCAGGGGGAGGAGAATTACGGGTGTCAGGGGAGTGTCTGCGCCATTGTGACTCAGGATACCCACCGAGACACCTGAGAAGACTTGGGACACATCCCTCAGTTGACCTTGGGGCCAAACCTCTCAGACCAAAGCTTCACCGGCGACCACCTGATGAGGTGGAAGTCAGGACCAGCCACTTATGGCCACTCGCACTGCCGTTCAGCAGGGGAGGGGCTCTGTTGGTGCCCCTCTGTTCTGAGCGGGAGGGGGGGATCCTGAGAATGCACATAATGTCCTTTGACTGCCTCTTCGCGGGCCCTGGGATTTCTGTCTTTGCTGAGCTGAGTCAGCGAGGCTCAGACCAAGGGTCTCGTTTTTCTGAGAGTCTAGAGTGAGAAATAAGGTGGAGCCTGAGCCCCAGAGCCAGACTTGGGACCTCCTAAGACTGACGTGAGGGGTGGAGCTCTGTGGAACCCCCTATTCTGAGGTGCATGGTGTCCTCTGTCTTCATTCAGGGTCTTCCCTTGACTCCTAGTAGGTGCTAGGCCACCTCCCTTCTACTGAGTAGAGGACAGCCCCTCAGACCAAAGACCTCTATTACCTGGGAATTCTGATGGGAAATACAGATCCGCCTCATTGGGCCTCTACTTCCTGGGGCTTCAGGCTTCCCAGGTGTGGCTGCAGGAGGTAAGTCGTGGTGTGGGGGATGGCATCAGGGTGAATGTGTGTGTTTTCTTCTCTACTGAGGTGTGGAGTCTCTTAGTCTTCAGGTCCGCACAGTGACCGCTGGGTGGGCCTGGCATTCCTCCCTTTCCTGATATGTACCCATCACGTTCCTCTAACCTCCGAGGAGAATCAGGGGAATTTTTATCCTGACAGCTCTGTCTGTGGTCTCCGTTGAGTGACATCAGGGGTATTTCCTAATTGTTTCAAGAGCAAATTTATACCTTTATTATATGTGATTCACTGGGATACTTCCTATTCCTTTTCTGTTTTAATCCTTGCTTCTTCTCATCCACCAAACAGGTCAGGTGATTCTTAATACAATATTGTATTAAGAACTCATATTGTATTAATGAACTCATATTGCCTTAACCAACCTAAATTTTTGGGCTGTCCTGATACTAGGCCACCATTTTGGCTCCCCTATTCTGAAGTGCTGCCTCAGGTTCCTTCAGTGAAGCACTAGAAATTCATTGCCCAAGGCACACTGAGAGAAGCTAAGGCCAAATTTTAAAATCATTCCTCCAACTGATACTGTCATCTGCTTTGTACTGCAGGCTACAGGCCTGTGTCCACTTCATGGTGCACCCCCACACAAGCATTAGGTCAATAGAGAATAAGTGTCTCTCAGGGGTTTCTCATTTGGTTGTATTGCTGATGTTTATGATATTGTTCTTTGTTTATTATTTCTTTAGTTTTTCCAGAGTTTGTTTGGGTCATGGGAAACAGAAGCTTTAGCTTGGCTGTCATCTTGGAATCTATGTATAAGTCACTACATCTGTAAGTAGTTGAAGGATAATTAACATCTTATCAATATTCTTTTCCCCTGAATAAACATAGTATGTCGCTCTATTTGGGACCCCTCACCCCAACTCCCTAACTTTATCAGCAAAGTTTTTAGTTGCTTCCATAAAGATCTTGTAAATTTCTGTAAGGTTTCATTTAAGATATATTTTAGATATTGTTGCTATGGTGAATGGTGCATTTTCCATCTTGTGTTCTAATTAGTATTGATTTTGTGGGGCCAGTCTTCTGATTTTTAATTTTTATTATTTGAATGCCAACTACTTTGATATTTTAAATGCAGGATCATACTGTTAATATTATTACGTCTTTCTTTTCACTATTTAAACCTCGTACTTATTTTTGTTTTCTTGTGCATGGCATTTTAGTGACTATATATTCCAATTCAATATTGTAATACTATACCTTTGTATGTATTTCCAGACTTTATTGGGGACTCTCCTAATGTTTCAGATTTATGTATGTTTGTTGGTATTTTTATGATATTGAAATGATCAAATGTTTTTCTCTAGTAAATGTTATTGTGGTGAATAACAGTAAACTACGTTTTGTTTTGTTTTTTTTCTTTTTTCCTAATATGCTATCACCTTTATATTCCTTGGACACACCTCCTTATTAATTTATCATTATACTGGATAAGCTATAAAAAAATATTTATGATATTTGTCCCTGAATGAGTTTGACTCAACTGTTTTTTGGGGGATCATCCTTATCTGACATTTGTATCAATGAGAACTAGCCTTTTAAAGAGGATAATTTCCGACTTTTTGTATGGTTTGGAAGAGTTTACTTAATATAGTGATTAGTTTTTTATTCACCATTTGGTGTAAGGAGCCTCCAAACCTGGATGATCTGGAAACATTTTGAGGGTGCCTAGGTTTAATTACAGTTTTAGTTTGTATTGTTCATTTAAGTTTTCTATCTTTTTATGAACCTATTTAGTCATTTACATTTTGCTAATTTTTAATGTTTAATTGTGTTTTCAAATTTAACATGATATTTATAATAAAATAAATTTATCATTAAAATTCACAAACATATACAGTACAGAGAATAGAATAATAAACTTAATATACCTGGATCTCTTCATCAACAATCTTCAGCAGTTGTACTAAAAAGTGTGATTAGATGAAATTTTATTTACTTATTTGTTTGTTTGTTGGCAAGGACACTCTAGGGGCAATACGTGCACTTCTATTAAGAGATACATAATGTCTATTGTCTCCTTTGTAGTGATGTTGGTAGTCATCACAGATCATCATCCTCACCCATTAATTTATTAAGGGCTACAGAATGGTAATTCCATCATTCCTTTGTGATTATTAGCCAAAATAATTCTATAGGGAGAACTTTTTCCTTATGCACCATTTGTCATCCTGATGTAATTTAAAAATAATTATAGTGTTCTCTTATAGTCTTTAAATCTCTTCTGCAAGTATATTTTGTAGAATTTTATTTAACTAATATCACTTATTTCTGCTTCTTTCACAACAGATAATGCATACAGTAAGTGTTTTATATCTATCTATCTATCTATCTATCTATCTATCTATCTATCTATCTATCTTTTCAAAGATGCTCAACCTCACAAGTCATCAGGGAAATGCAAATTAAAACTACATTGAGATACACCTCACCCCAGTTAGATTGGCTATAATCAAAAAGATGGTGAATGACAAATGCTGGCAAGGATGTGGAAAGAAGGGAACACTCCTACACTGTTGGTGTGACTGTAAATTAGTACAACCACTATGGAAAACTATGGAGGTTTCTCAAACAACTACAGATAGATCTTCCATACAATCCAGCTATCCCACTTCTGAATATATACCTAGAGGAATGGAAATCATCATGTCGAAGGGATACCTGCACTCCCATGTTAATTGCAGCTTTGTTTACAATAGCCAAGACATGGAACCAACCTAAATGCCCATCAATGGATGATTGGATAAGGAAACTGTGGTATATATACACCATGGTATACTACTCTTCCATAAAAAAGAATGAAATACTCCCACTTGCAACAACATGGATGAGCCTAGAGAAACTAATGTTGAGTGAAATAAGCAAAGTACAGAGGGATAAATACCACATGTACTCACTCATATGTGGGAGCTAAGAGAAAACGAAAGAAGGAAAGAAAGACCACAGTAGTGCGTTGGACTTGCAGAGGGAGAGAGCATTCTATGGGCTACAAAGTGGAGTGGGGGGGACAGGGTGAGGGACAGGGAGGTTGGGGATAATTTGGTGGGGGATGCTCGGCACAAATGCAATTTGTTTTAATGGAAATGATGCCAGTATGAATCTGTCCCTCACATCATGGGCACGAGGGGTGACAATCAGCTTTGTATTCATGAATATTTACAACCAATAAAAAAAAAAAGTTTAAGAAAAACAAAAAGCAAAGAACTGACTTTCATTAGTTGGTTCTATTGTCTTTTAATTAATCATTTCTGCTCTTAGCTTCAATATTTTCTATCTTCTAATGATTTGAGTGTATTATGCTACTGTTTCTGTAGCTCTTGAATCAGT